GCAGCCAAGGCTCCTGATGACGGGGAGCCCAGTGGCAAAGAAAGGGGCACAGTGACACCAGTGGCAGCGGAAGCAGAAGCAGGTGCCCGAGGCCGTCTCCTACCCAGGCCGCCAGGGCTCCTGGGTCCCTGTGAGGTGGGAGAATGGTGGAAAGGAGGCAGCCCAGGTGGGAGCCGGAGCCCTAGGTCTTGAAGGAACGTGTGCAGGGTGTGCAGGGCAGAGCAGACAGAACACAAGGTGTTTCAGAGGGGAAGAGGGGGGAGAAGAGGAGACACTGAGGAAACGGGCCTGCGGAGCAGTGGGAACAGCCAGGGTGGTCAGTGAGAGAGGAGGGCTGCTGGGCGGTCAGACCTCACCCAGGGCTGAGGGTCAGTCACTGGTGGTCCTGGCCGACTCTGTGTTCCCCACCCTGCCAGGCTTGTTTATTCTGTGCCTGTGTCTGCCATTTCTCCATTTACCCTTAGCCACAGAGGTTTTGGATTTGAGGAGAGGGAGGGGCGGGTGGAGAGGTTTCTTGGTGGCAACAAAAACACAACAACTAGCTCCTCGGGGCCAGCCAAAGTCCCACTAAGGGCGTTCTGGGTCTTAAAACTGCATCGTGATCTTTATGGGTCAAATTAAGTTGGTGATTAGTTCCAAGTCAATTTGAAAAGTTTCAGTGGCAGCACCTGGGTATGGGACAGCTCTGCTGGCGGCTACAAGGTCGGGCTGCAAAGAGCCAGCGCTTTCTCTTTTGACCTCATTCTGGGGATACCAAGGTCCTGCGTGTTTTTCACTAGTGAATTTTTAGCAACTTGCCTGGAGACGTTTGGCCGTGGGGCACACATACATCACTCTGGGGACGTTCCCTTCACATTTTGGGGCCTCCACAGATACCGTATTTTAAGATTATTTCACCTGGAGAAAAGACTTTAATTACCCACAGCGTTCTCCTTATCTGCCCCCGCATACACACAGAAAACTGCTTCGCTCAACTTCCAAACTCCAGTGCAGTGGGAGGTCAACAGCTCCAGCCCCAACCAGGTCACGAACTACCTGGCCAGCCTCTTCAAAGCAGGCCAGGTCTTGGTGCCAGTCTCGGGCACCTTCTGGAAGGTTCTCAGCCATTGCTGCATCTACCTGTCAAACCCAGCGGCCCCTCCCGCACGCCCACAGAGCTTGTCCCCGCCACCCACGGCAGGTCTGTCCATCTTTGCTTTTGTTCTAAATCACTTTGCTCACCAGTTGACACTAATGAGTTTCTCACTGAAATAAGCCAGGTTCCTAGTAGGTACCCAGTGCTGATAAATGAACGAATGAGTGTGTGGTTTGCTACTCCTGGGTCCATTTTATTTTAAGCTCTTTATGTACATTAAAGTAATGTTCTCCTTTTTAAAGGAATTCAAAGCATCAGTTATTAAGGACAAAAACAAAGTGGGAAGGACGTTTCTGGGACGAAGGCCTTCCCCCGTGGCCCTGGGTTCACACTGGGCTCTTTTGCAAGGGTAGCCCTGAGGTTACTTCTGTTAGGTTGCCTGGGTCCAGGTTGAAAAATAGAAAATGTGAGCCTTCCACTTCCCTAGACAGTGTTACAGGAAAGCCAGTGGGGTTGTCCGGGTACCAGGTTTGGCCAGGTGTCACTTACCTCGGCCTAAGTCACCTGTGTCATGTGAACTCATCCATTTCCTTGCTTCTCTATTTTCTTGTTTATTTTGTTTTGTTTTCCCCTTAGTTTCTTAGGGAAGCACCTTTGCTTTCCTTTGAAAAGTTCTCACCCTTTCCCAGCTCCATAGAGGGGGAGGGTGCTGGTCACCATGGACACCACCCACTGTAGAAGGGATCTGGAGGCCCCAGCACCTGGTGCAGCCACAGCTCCCCAGACACGGGGTGACTAGAGGTGTGGATTCCTTTCTGTCCTCATACACAGGGCAGAGATGGGCTGGCAGTCCCCAGGAATCAAAAGCTCGCTCCCTCGCTATTGCTAGAATCCAGCTGGGTTAACGTCCTCTGTCTCCTTTTCATCTTTGTCATCTTTGAGCCCTTTGTGGCCATGTCTATGGCGAGGGCCATAAATCTGCCCTTTCTTCAGATGTCTTGGGAGGTATCCAACCTGATGATATCACTGAGACGGAAGCCAGGCCAGGTCAGGGATGCGCAGCCTTTGCCATTTTCCAGACTGAGATCTGCCTCTTTTGTGCTGTCACTGACGTCTGGTGAATCATCCGTGTCTGCCTCAGCTACTGCTAATTGACATCCTCGTTAGCAGGGGATGCTGCTCCCTGATCAGAGTCACCGTCAGAATGAGCCTGTCCCCGTCTGCCTTCACTTCCCAGCCTTGCCAGATCAACATCTACACTGTCTCTTGTTAACCTTGGCCACGATGGACCCTCTGGGTGCAAACACCGTGAAACGGGTCAGTCGTGGTGACAGATTTGTGCAAATCAGACTCCCACTAACCATCGGGGAGATCTTGGCAAAGAGCCTTGGAGCCTCCATTTCCCCATCTGTAAAATGGGGAGATAACGGTAAGCCTGCTCACCTCACTGGAGTGTGGTGAAGAGCAAATGGGCTGGAGTGTGAAGACAGGTCTGTAACCTACAGACACTTCACAGATACAGATGATTGACACCCCACTGCTCGGTACTTGCTGTTCCTCTCACGCACTAGATGGGGGTGCTCCCATGGTGCTGCTTTCCGCCCTCTTTTTTTAGTAGCGCACTGGAGCAAGGGCCTGGCGCTGCGCTTTCCTTGTATCGGTATGGCCTCTCCCTCAGGGAGCTTATCTGCCTCCACAGCTTCAACATAATGTAGCTCCAAGCAGCCTGAGTCCCTAAACTCTAGTACCACGTGCCAGACTGCCTGCTTGACATCTTGGTCCGGATTTTTCTCCCTGTGTTTCAGATGCAGGATGTCTAAATAAAAGTCTGTATCTTCCCGCCTGGCAGACTGGCCGCTTCTCTTCACGACTCTCCTGAGTACCCCCGGTTTCTCTGCCAACGTCCTCGGGTGTCATCACACATCTCCCCCTCACGGCCTCCGTCCTCTCCCTGCCCCCATTCTAGGTCAGGCCCTGGTTCGCTCACACAGGGTGGTTGCCAAAACAAAGACCGTTGACTTGTCTCCCTGATCTATGACTTTCCCCGGCAGCTCAACCTCTCTATTTAAAAAATGCAGCTGGGAAGCCCTCTGTAGCTCTCCAGCACCTCCTGAATAAAGTCTGGTTTCTTAGGCATACAAGTCTTCCAGTGACCTCAGCAAACTCATTCAGCCTTCATCACGCCCTTCTGTGTCCTGCAGTTCATAAACTGATGTGTTCTTCATTTCTAGGGCCGAATCTTGTTTTGTTTTGCCTCCTTTTTATCTTCCGGAGTGTCTGCAGAAATCTGACCCTCCTATGGGCTCTAGCTCACATGTCACTTGCCTTGTGGAGCTTCCATGATTGGTCCTGTCACAACATGGGCTAAACATGAGGAAGAGTGTGTGGTGCCAACAGAACGGCCCCAGGCACGCGTGGCTCAGTGCCAGGCGCTGTGGCCCCAGCTTCTCCTTAGGTTGAGACCAGTTTTACCTCATTCAACTTCACAAACTCCTAAAGGGTTTGTACGTAGTTGTTTAAAAAAAAATATGTATCTTTTTTACTAAGAAATGTCCCCAAAGTGGTATAGAAGTGCTACAGAAATTCAGAGAATTTAGAGTTCATTATAAACTAAAGTAGTTTGGAAAAGCTGCCAGAAAAGGTGGGATTTGATTTGCCTTAAGGATGAATGAGTCTCCGGTGGGAGCCGAGAGATGGCAAGTGGGCACCTTAAAAGCCAAGGGATTGGAAGATGCAAAATAGGGGCACTGTGTGTGTTCTGGAAATGAGACCAGAATTGCAGAGCCTCTTAGCAGTCCTAATGAAAAGACCGAACATACAGTGTGTTTTGAGTGTTGTAGATCCTTGTACTATTTCATTTAATCTTCACAGCAACCACAGGAGGTGGCCGCAGGTGAGGAAATTGAGGCACAGAGACAACTGTGACTTATTCAAGGAAATGCATCTGCAAAGTGGGGAGTTGGGATTCAAACCCAGCCTCCTGACCTGAGCCTCCTCCTCGCCAGTGTGGTTCGCTGCTTGTCTGCGAGGTGCCTTCGACAGCACTCGGCCCAACTTCTTCCCTCTGCAGAAATCTCAACCTGTCTCATTCCTGGGAGAAGAAAAAGTCTAGGCCCCAGCAGGTGTGCAGTGAAGGGTTGTAAGAGAGAACTCAGACATGAGGTGGGGAGTGTATGTCTTTGAGTGTGAAGTTAGACGTTAGCCTGTACTCAATGGAATTGAAGGGTTTTGTGCACGGGAGTGATGTAATGAAAGAGGAGGATGTGGAAGATTAATCTTATGGTGAATGTGCACTGACACTAGGGAGATCAATTAGACATAAAAAGGAAAGAACTTTAAAGGAGACGATTATTACTGGAAAAGGCTGCTGAATCAGTCTGGCGAAATGAGCAGCATGGCTTCTCGAGGGTCCCAGGGCTTCGAGTAAGTTCTGTTTCAGGCTTGTTTTTCCTATGATTTTTGCAGCATCCCAAAATGGGCTGGGCGGGAAAACCCCAGTGATTTAGCAAGCATTTACTGTGTGCCCGCTGTGTGCCAGGCATTGTGCGAGGTACTGAAAACAGAAAGACGAGTTTCGATGCCTCTAGGGATGGAGTTGTCAGAGGCACAGGTGGCTGCCACACTGGGAGGATTTGGCAGGAAATAAAGAATTTGATTATTGAGCACAAATTTTGTGCTCAAATCTCAGATATGGATCGTCTCATTCAGTTCTCTTAAGGGCCCTGTGATAGTCTGATGGCCCGCACCTTCCAGACAAGGAACTTCACTCAGCGACGGCCAGCGAGTGACTGGCCCAAAGTCAGATGACTCCAACGTTGAGGCCGTCTCCTGAATGAAGTTCATTGCCCAATGAAACGGCTGCTTACCTTTTTCTCTTCCCATGCTTCCTTATGTATTGTTCAGCAAAACCCAGCTTCCTGGGTTTCTTCTTGCTCTTCTGTAACTGCCACTGGCTTTTCCAGACTTCCTTTCCCCTCTCCTCTCCACCACCTGCTTCCTGTGTCTGGCCCCTCCATCTACATTCTCTCATGAGAACAGATCCAGAGTCCTCTTTCTGGGCACCTGATCCTGCCCTAGAGAAGGAGGGTTCTGCTCCAGGAAAGATGTTTTAGGGGACCCTGCTCCGGGTTGTTCTTAGAGCCACCCTGTCGTCAATATCAGCCACGAAAATTCTTTCCCATGCAGGGGTGCTGGGTAGGTGGACCCCTGCACCCAGAGCATGTTCAGACTTCAGAGATGGTGGTCAGGTCAGGTGGTAGGTGGTGGTCCCAGACAGGGGGAGAGAGTTGGGAAGGCCTCGCAGGGTCTGGAGAGAGGAGAGTTAGGCAGGTGGGTCATCATGAGAACCACACGGAGCTGCAAGGTCTGATAATGTTCTACAGGGAGCCCCAGTGGACAGGCCATAGGTATCCAGGAAGGTGTCCGAGGACATGGCAGCGTGGTGATCCCATCGTCTGGGAGTAGAGTTCAACCTTAGTTGACACGGGCAAGGAAGAGTCCTAATCTGTCCTTGGTGGCAGTGGTTCCCCC